GACTGCGGCCTCGCTGCGAGTCGGGAGGTCGCGCAGTCGCCTCGTCTGCTGATGGAGAGGTCTCCTGGGGTCAGAAAGCCTCTCCTGTGCACGAGGTACCAGGCTGGGTTTTCCATCGCCTTTTTCTCAGGTTCTCTTACAGTGAAGTTGTAGCTTCCACAGGAATTCAGGTTTGTGGCAGTCAGCTCGGTGAATTCTGAACTTTGCTGCTTGGGTAGGGTTTCGTGGGGTTTTCTGTTTGGGTTTTTTTGGGTTGGTTTTGGTTTGGTTTTTTTTGCTATGCTGTTATGACTGAGTCATTTTAAAGGAATAAATTTTTTACCAGCTAGGTGGGAAAAAAAAAGGTTACAGGTGTTTTGGTTTGCATTTGCATCTGATTTTTTTTTTTGGGGGGGGGGGATTTCTTTTCCCTGGGGCTTTATTCTGCAGTTTGCAACTGTAGGTTTCATTCATCTCGACATCCAGGCTCCTGTTTCCATTAAAAATAGAAATAAATAGCTGCAGCTTTCACCAAGTGTCAGCTCCCAATCGAAAAGATCTATAAATGAGTATTCTAATTTTGACAAGAGAAAGGTGGCTATCTCCTGCTCTACCAACTGAGGAATAGTTTGTCTTCTCTGTAAACATTTCCCCGCTTCAATCACTTCTTTTCAGTGCACCTTTGTGGCTGTCTCCACCACAGCAGTGTGGATAAAATCAGGTGCTTTCCTTGTGAAAGCTTGCCAAGATGCAAGTGAAACTTCAATGAAAAAAATACAGCTTTTCTTCTGTTGCAAGGATAACTGCCTTACTTTTTTGTTTTATTTTCAGTAGGAATGGGCTTAATGCTCCCAGGTATCACCAACCGTGTGGTTGGGCTAGTACTTTCAAGTACTGCGAATGCAACTGTAAATGTCTGTAGTAGCAGTTACCTCCAAAATAGTTGCCAGACTTGTGGAGACCTATGGAGCAGCATGAGGAAAGAGCGTGAGCAATGCTGATGGACCCTGCTGGGCCATTGGCCAGCCTTGTGTACACGGGAGAGCAGGAGTGTGTCAGGAATTAGGCTGAAGGGAGGTAGTGTAAATATCTCCTTTATGTGCATTGGGAACATCTTTTAAGGGCAAGGGATGAGAGGTAGCAACTGATTATTTTCACTGTTGAAAAGTGGAAGGATGCCATCGAATTTCCAGGTGCCAGAACTGTACATCTTCCTATATGTGTCTCATGGGACTAATTGTTTCTTCCTTTCAAAAATTCCCCAATGTTAACTGTTAGCCTCTGGCAGTGGACGAGGATAATTTCTTAGGTGTTGACCTGGCTTCATATTTTGTTAAGCTTCTTGTACAAAATATTTGGGAAGGAAAGAAAAAAAAGCAATGCAGGAGTTGCTGCATTGACGTAGTTCTTAAAATGCATCCGTACAGTGAACAGTCCCTCAGGGTGCTTGGTTTGGGGTATAAGCAGAAAAATGAGTTTATATAAAGTTGAGGTTCCTTCTAAAAGGAAGCGTGTTTGGTGTGTTGTAATCTTACATCTCTTGAACTGTGACTTACTCTAGTTGCTGTTGTTAGATTTCTTATATTTTGTTACCAGAAAGATCTATTCTTTCCTTGGTTTTTAGTTTACATCTCACGTTGTTTGTATAACTATTTGTGGCTGATTCCTCTGAGAGCTGCTGCTGGTACTGCTGCTGCAGGCCAACGTTTGCAACAGTTTCCCAGCTGTAATTACTGAGGTTCTTATGGGTAGTTTTGTAACTTGATTAATGTTTTTTGTATTTTCCTTTATTCCTTCTAGTTGCTGACAGATACTCAAGCCCATTAAGAATTAATGTGGGTTACATTGTTTTAATTGTTTCTTTTTCAGGATTTGCAACTCAATTATGTGCATGTTTTATGCCTGCCTTTTATCGGAATAGCCACTAACTTGCACCAGTTTTCTCTCTAAAGTCCCATTCTTTATCAGAATAGATAGTAAACACTCTTACCTACTTTTTGCCTGCCCTAATCCTGAGGCAAACAGAAATTCGTTGTTCACTGGATGTGTTGAATTGTGAAATGCATTTATTTACATAAGACTTCCTTATTCAGGAAGTCAGCCTCTCTGCTATTGAAGGTTATAAATTAACTTCTCCTGCTTTGCTGGTTGATGCAGGCAACCCCTTCCTGTAAATACTGAGCGCGTGTTCTGCAGCAGATATGTCAATATAGCCGTGTGTCGGGAGCTCAGGTCGTGCAGAGAGGTGAAGAGCTGTTTTTCTGATTTACCCTGGCAGCTGTGAGGATGTGTCTTGCTGATCCCAGCGCACGGACCTGAGAATTTATGTAGTTTTGTTAATGCGGGGGCTGGGACGAAGGAGCGCTGTGGGGAGCGGACTGAGACATGACTGCAGTTAAACCGAGACTGGCGGATCTACTACTGGTTCGATGCCTTGGATGAAATGTTGGAGAAAAGCAAAAGCAACCGAAGACTTGCTTTTTTTAAAGTAACTCGTAAAATGCATCCATACTGTGAGCAGACCGTGCAGTTGTTTAGTTTGGGTTGTAAGGGAGAAATGGGTTTAGTAAATCTTGGGTTGGTTCTAAAGACAAGGGTATTTGTGCATGAGTGTATTTCGTATTGTGAGAGGCATTGCCTGCTTGCAGGGAATGTGTTAGTCAGCGTGCAGATCGGATCAGCTACCTTCAGATTTATGGTTCTAACCACAAAACATGCTCTCCGTGACAGGTGCCCAGCAATGTGTTACCCTCTTTGGCCACTGAACTCCGACAGAGAGGGAGGGTGGGGCAGTCTGGCAGCGAGGAAAGCCCGTGCTGGCGGGTTAGCCAGGATCTCAGTGGAGCAGAAGGGGGCCACGTTTGGCTTGGTACGTGGTTCTGACTGTAAGGACAATCTGATTATTTTGTATATTTGTATTTAACTGCTAGAATTTGCTAAAAATCTTTACTCAAGAATGTGATGCATTTACAAGATATTTTTATAGTAGTGCCCTAGAAAATTCTGTTCTTAGAATTCATTCTTAAAATGCTGTGGGTTTTTTTTCGCCACATGGTAACCATGGAAATATATGCACTGCAGAAACAAGAGATGTTTGAATTTTCACAATTTTCACACAATTCGGAATTTTCTTTGTAAAATAATACCTGTTTTATTTCACACAGGATGCTACCTTCCTTTACACTGCAGGTCCTGTGGTAGTTGCAACATTCTAGATTACTTGCTGGATAAAGTTCAGCTGCAGCTATGGAGAGTGGCACTGCACAGGTGAAGCTTACTGCCGTTTGCTCACAAAGCAAATCAATGTGATAATCGATGATTTTACATGTTAAGATTTTTTCACAGAACCTTTTCCATATGAACTAATTTTATATGTACGGAGTGTTAAGTACTGCATTTGAAAGTAATTGTATTAACTTACATTTTCAAATTAATAAATAAGTTTAATAGAGTTAATTTATCTGATAAACTAATTGAAAATTAATAACTTAAAATTGGAATTTTGTCTCGAAGCCTTTTCAGTAGTCCAGTGCCATACTTTCATGGTCACATTACACTGACTCTCCTTCGGAAATGGAGCGGTTCTACCCCAGGTACTTGCCCATTTCCACGCCACTTCTCCTTTCTGTCACCCCAGGAGAAACATTTGTGAGATGGAAAGAACTGGGATCTGCCCTGGATTAAAATTAGCTTCCCCTGTCCTCCCCTGCCTTCTGTCCGTTACTTTTTAATCTGGCCTAATTCCCTGACCTGGCTTGGCAGTGAGCCACAAGGATGCTTTTGCTCTTTCAAGGAAGGTCGTGATAGAGGAGCAGGAACAAGTGACGGTGGGAGGGCAGGACTGGGGATTTGTGTGTTTACAGGGGCCCGCAGTGAGCACTGACCTGCCGCCTGGCAAACCAAACTGCTCTTGCTTGGCCTTCGAGCCTCGGAGCATGTGGATTGTTGCAAGAGAGGAAGCGAATTAACAAATGTGTCCTCTCCAGCAGCCTGGAGTAATTCCCCGCGATGGAAACGTCAAGGGCAGGGAGAAGGTACGGGAGAGACTCCTTTCCTTGGGCCAGAGCACAGTTTTGACGTGTTCCAGAACTAACCATGTGCCAGCACTCGTGGGTCCGTTTAGACAACTGGAACAAAAAATGAACTCCAGTCAGCAAAAAGTTGCTACTAACACTTCCGTTCGAAAGGAAAGCTTGGGCAGGGGAGGTGCCACCCCGGAGGACCAAAATACCTGGAGGGGTGGAAGAGCTCTCACCCGCTAGGGATCGGCAGGGACTTCAGGTCACGTCCTGTGCTTGGGTGTTTGGGTGAAGCTGTTCTGCTCATCTGCATCGAGAAAGTCTTGCACTTAATCAGCAACTTAAGATTTGAATAATGAATCTCAGGTTGGTTCCTAGATTTTGGTTGGTTTTGTCGGGGTTTTTTTTGGCGTTTAGCTGTGCATGTCTTGAGGGAAGAGTAACTTTTTGTATGAAGTGTGTGAGTTTTTAGATTTTGATGATCGTTGTATCTGGATTCTCGTAGTTTAAGAACACAGATATTTTTTTTTTTTATCTCATCTGTATTTTTTTCTGGTGGAAAATGATTGAATTGGGACACATACGCCTGTACAGCTGTGCTGAGCGGGGTTCATGACTGACTAAATTTACTGTTTTGCATTATACGCTTAAGTGTTTTTAAACAAAATTTCAGGCACTCATACTTTGAAGTGACTCTCTTAGTTGGGTTTGGTCCTGTCTCCTCAGAGCGGTCACTGTTATGTTCTACTTTTGGCATTAGCAGGGTTCACTGCCTCTGTTCGGACCAGTACTTTGTGATTTAAGAAAAAGAATAAGGGGAAAGACTGAAAACTGCGCTTGAAAATAAAATTGTTCTTATTATCTGTAATAAAAATAGAAGAAAGATAGAAGAAGAAGGAAATCAGTCTGTGACAATTGTGTGCTTTAGAGCATCTACAGCTCAGAGTTCAACAAAAATAGGTTTTACCTTTGGTGAAAACCTGGCTCATGTGTTGTTTTTTCTAAATCTGTCACATCTCTTGTGCAGGCTGTTGCTGTCTAGCCAGCCAAGTGAAGAGGTGTACATTAAGTACAGCTTCAGCTTTGATTTACAGCTTAAAATTACAGGCTGTAGCAATAAAAACTAAAGCTATTTTTTTGTAAAAAAGGGACTCTTTACAGAGTTCTTAGGTGTTGCAAATTTGCTTTTGTAAAACTGACAAAATACTGTCTAGTTCAAGACTTCAAAATTTCATAAATCACGGACAGCATTAAAATAAGATTTTACCTGTGTTCCAAATTTTGAGTTGTAACGGATAAGAACAAACTGTATTTTAAAATTGCTGCACGTTGTAAATTCATCCCTGAATGTGCACACCCAAAAATCAAGTTCTAGTACTCTCTTCTAGTCTTCAGGAACTGCAGCTGTAATTGGTCTTAATTTACTGTTTATCGTGTTCCTGTTTGTCCATGTTTTTTCCATGCCCTACTCTTCTCCAGTTCTTCCCAGTATTCCACAGAAGTGGTTACAGTGTGTGGTTAGATTATTAGCATTTACATTTTATTGCAGCTTGTATGCAGTTAATAATTCTTACATGATAATTCATTTACTAAGAACTTTTAGGTTGTGTATTACAGCAAATGGGATCTTTTAGAACTGCTCCATATGTTTTGGGCTTTTGGGTTGGGGTTTTTTTTGTTGTTATTTGATTTGTCTTTTATTTTACACTGAAATAAGGTTCTTATCCATTGCAGCTGGTAACTTAGTTTGCTCTGCATCAACTGTTTTTATCATAATTAGCATTTAAACAAAAATATAAGATCGAAACCTTGCTCTCAAAGTCAAAACTTTGATAAATGAGAAGGTAAATTGATGCAGAGTTTATTAATCGAGCCCCAGTGACTTTGTGACTCTTAGAGCTGGTGAGTTTTTCACAAGAGGGGCAGCAAGTGTGTCTCCCTGCAGCGGGACTTGCCCTGTGCCAGGCTTCTATCGCACTGGACACTTTTTCCCCCTTTCATGTTGTGAGGAACAATGCATTTTGTTCTCGTGGAGGGTCTGTTTCAGTGATACCAATTTACTTTGTGGTTTGAAGTGTTTCCCAGCTATTAAAATGTCAACTGGTGCTCACGCTACTTCCTTGTGTAAGGATTGTGTAATACTTAACACTTAGTCGTGCTCATTTGCAAAACCTTAGCAGGGTAGAGGAATCCTGTTGTAAACCTTGTGATGTTATTCCTGCTAATCAAAAGAGAAATGTAAAGAAATTTAAAATGACAGGTTAACGATGTAAGAATGGGACTTAGAACTTGAATTTTATGCTTCTCACTTGCTTCTGAAGTGTGATGCCATAACCACAGGATTCACTGAGGCATCAATATACATCTCAGTACTGTTTAAGTCTATAAATAGTGTTTTTATAAGAATGAAATATACATATATCTTTGCCAGAATATCTTCATACATATTTATTTTTCCATTAAATGAAATTTAGAGATTTAATTAAATAGCCCATTTAATTCCAGACTTGAAGTGATTATATTACAGTTTTGGAACAAAAATTGAATTGTATTTTGATAAAGGGCATTTTAAATACCAAGCAGAGATTGGCATTTAGCACAGCAGATGGGGACTTGTAATGGTGCCCAATGTTTAGTCTTTATCAGTTCAGTTCTTGCTTTCTTGCCATGAATCCTGTCCAAATACTTTTTGGTTGTTACCCCTTCCTGCCCACCCCTCCCCAAAAAAAGTAAAAAATTCTGGCTTGCTGCTTCTTGTGGGAGATGTGCTTGAGAATAGCAAATACAGTGCACGTGGGATGTGGGAGAAAGGCAAAGGAATTCCTGGTAACTCTTGAGGACTGTTCCATCGGTGACCCCTGTCCTTCTGCTGTCATTGCACGCCTGCACCTGAGATGTCCTAACCCTCTGGATTTTTTTTTTTCCTCTCTTTCACTTTTAGACTGTGTTTTAGCCCAGAGTACTCTTTATAGTATTCACACCCTTTGTTAAAACATTTTTTTTTAAGCCTGCTAACCTTTTGTACAAAAGTTAATTGACAAACTAAACAAAAAGATTGTTCATCGTATGAATATGCTGTTAGATAATAATCTCCTGCTGTTGAGAGGGGTGGGATCAGCAGTTTTGGGGGTTTTGTGTGGCAGGTTTTTTTCAGCTGTTTGGTTTTTAATAGCTCCTTTTATGCCAGTATTACCTAGGCACCTCTGGATCTCGAGTTCCCTGCCCTTGGCAATCTCTTCCGTCAGCCTTTGCTGCTCCCACCGTGTGACCACGGGTCTCGGCACAGGTTGCGGCAGGCCCAAGCTCCAGCCGCCTGTGTGTGACACAGCCTGTGTCCTGTCCTGCTGCGGGTGCACCTCTGGCGTTTCTTCTGACCAGGGTTTGAGCTGAAACTTATAAAGCAATTTATAACTGAACTGATAAAACTGCTTGAAGCCTTTCAGTTGTGACTCTTCGGCCACTACGCTGTTCTTACTACCTTTATCTGAACCTCCCCAGATGCCTGCTCTGTGCTGGGGGTGTTTGCCTCGCATCAAACTTGCTTTCCTGCCAGTGACTGCTCTCGCTGGTCACAGAGAGCTGGGTTTGTGCTCTGTGTCTGTCCTTACCTCAGCTCTGGACCCCTGGTGCATCCTTTCCAGTTCCAGCTGGTGTCCGTGACATGCCCAGTTGCTTTGACCACTGCTGTGGCCCTCGCTGTGCCAGCTCTGTTGCTTTGGTGTCTCCTTCCAGCACCTTCTTTTTTTTGAGCACCAGCTTTTCCTCCTTTGGTTTCAGCCCCCTTCACCCCAGCCGCTGCTGTAATCAGTGAAACCAGTCTGAATAAGGGTCTGTCTGCTGGTCTTGGCACACAATCCTCACATCCTCATCTTCGCTTTACTCAGCCATGTCCAAGTGATCCTTGCTCTTCAGTGTCCATGGGAACCTGTGCATGAGCATCTCTTTTTTGGGTGAATCCCTTCTCTGGTGACCGTGCGGGATTCCTGGGCACGTTCCTGTGCAGTTCAGATTTTCAAGGGGTTTTGTTGCTGTTGCTGGATGACAGGATTGACGTTTGATGGTGAACTATTTTTTGGGGAGACTGCTTGCCATTTCTCTGCTGTCCGCCACATGCCATGCAATTCACGCTCTGCCTTCTGGAATAGAGGGCGAAGTAGTGGGAAGATCACCCAGTTACAGGTTTTATTGTGATCCAGCGTGCTGCGATGAAGATAGATACACTTTTGTTAGCAACAGTTCTTTGGATGTGCGCGTCTCGAAATAGATTAATTATTAAAGATGCCAGCTTGATCTCCTGAAGTTTTGTAAGCTGTGCTTATTTCTGTGATGCATCATCTTTTTTTTTTGTACTGAATTTAGCTGCCTGTGGAATTTTTTTTTCCTCTTTGCTCAAACATTCTGTGATTTAGCATGAGTCATTCTGTCTGTGTGGGAAAGGGTTAGTTTATTACAGGGTCCGTTCTTGAGTGGGGATGGGAAAGGGTGGAATGTATTTGTGTTTTCTATGTGTTTGTTGTGGAAATGCATAAAACTTTTTTTTTTTTTCTTCTCTTTCTTTCCTCTCTTCATCTCATCTGTGTGGGTGAATGTTCCTGCAAACCCTTGGGGAACCTGTAGAGACTTTTGGTATGCTCATTCCTTCATTAGTGCCCAAAGTCACAGATGCTAGGAACAGTATAAAGACTAGAAAAGCAAACGAGTCGCATCGTCGCAATGTAAGGTGGCTAAAAATGTGCACTTGAGGAAAACTTCTTAAGTAATCCTCTAATAAACCTATTTGTTTGCATCATCACAATAGTACCAATGGCCATTGCTATCTGTTTGGCACGATTTTTATTCTGCACTTGAAAAGTAGAAATGAGATGTATTCTCCTGCAGCAAGAGCGAACGTTTTGCAATTGAGATATAATTTTCAAAAAGTACCTATCCCGTTTAAAATTCGAAGTGATATTTTCAAAAGTGACTGAAGTGTTCATTTCTAAACACTTCAGTCTGAAGGCCCTGTGTTTTGGCAATCTTAATGATCATTTAGTTTTTATTGTTGTCACTAGGAGAAAATAATGTTTATGCTATTTTGACATAAATTGGTGTTTTAAAAACTCTCGGTAGTCATCACTTTATCAAGTCATCTCTCTTCTGATGGAAGAAGGATAATCAGACATGGATTTGGACATTATTTGCTTCCCTTTTTTGTGTTGAGAAATTATTTCATGGCACAGGAAATCCTGCCCTCTTCTCAAATTAGGATCACTAGAAGGCATTACATGAGTAACCCTCATCATTTAAAAACAGTGGAAATATTTTCTCCACATGGGATAAACATGACTAACATTTTTACTGATTACCCACTAAATTTTTTTGACTTTCAGTGAATTTTAATACCAATTTATAACAGTTCTTTTTTCCTTACTGTAACCAAAAATTTAGGGTAATAAATATGTTCCTCCTCCCTCATATTGCTTGTTTCTCTTAAAAATAAAATTACTGAGTGGATATCATGCTTTAAGTACTTTTCTAACCTTGAAGTCTGGCCAGAATTGTGTCAATTTTTCTGAAATCTCCATTATATTTGCTGCTCCGTCAGAGCCAGTGACAGTGAGAGCCATAAACCTCCCTTGAGTCTTTTGTGGCCATTGAGTCCCATCTGCACTTGAGGGGTGAGGAGGAAGGAAAATAGAGGAATTCACAGAAAGCCTTCTCCAGGGCTGCCACTACTTTTGCTGCTGCTGTGCCAGTACCCACAATAGAAGAGATTTTTTGAAAAGTTCTCTGTGTAGACACTAGTATTCTCTGAAAATAAAAGTATGAAAGAGTTCTGATTCATCAGATGATTGTTTACGGCCCCTTATAAACCTAAATTTTTATGACCGTCAGAAGGTAAAATATATTTGTGAAACCATATTTCTAGATATTGACCAGAATACTCTTGGCACATGGCTGAATATTTTTAGAAATTGCTTGTGGCAGAACACCACAGTACAGAAAATCCACTGTTGTTAATGCTATACTGTGTGAAATGATTCAGGAAACACAGAAACAGTGTGATATTTTCTTGATTCTGTGACTCTTTTGGAACCGCAGCAGTGTTTGAACACCTCCCATTCATGACTGTGCATTAAGTAGTCTGCATTGATCTGGCTTCTAATTGGTATTCAAAAAAATAGAGGAGATGAACAAAATATGTTGGTGCACATTTTAAACAGTCATCCAGAATTTTGCTGTTACACTTTCCTTCAATTTCAATGAAAAATCAATATTGAAAATAACATTCTTTGACTGTGGGCATGCCTGATGTGCAGTGTTGTAGCCCTGTGCTTTGTCTTTGCTTGCAGTAATGCTGTCCATTTGGTACTGGAGCTTGCAAACAGCCTTTAAATAAAGGTGATGAGGGGAAAAAGCAATGAGATTGGCATTATGCTCAATCAGCTCAATCAGAAAATGTAGCTTTTATTTAACAAAAATAAAAGTCTATCGTTGTGCAGTGGCTACTTAACAAATGTCAGGTGTTTGTGGTTTTTTCCCGATCTAATTAAGAATGTCTTACATCACCTTAAAGCCTGCTTGCGTGTACCGTATTGTGAGTTATTAGAGCTGGTATAGTTTAAGTAAATTGTGCTAAATGATGTAGTTACTCCAGAAAGCTTGGAGATCGCCTGGAGATACTGTAGAGATTCTAGAGGCATCGGTGCTTGCTTTCATACATGGTGAAAATAGCATATTACACGCTGAAGAAAGAAGTTGATAATGAAGTTTACATGTTTTGTTAACAAAGCATCTCCATTACATCCATGATAAATTACATTAATTAAAATGTACTTTTTTGTGTTTGTTTTCAGTGAAAGAGTTCCTAGCCAAAGCCAAAGAAGACTTTTTAAGAAAATGGGAAAGCCCACCTCAGGTATTAGTCATTCAAACATTCAGTAATGTTCTCTGTCGCTTTTGGGGTTTCTGAGGATGTTATCAGTCTGTAATGATTAGCACAGATAACAGGAATAAGTTTAATGCAGTTTTTTCGGGAGTTTCCATTTTTAATTTCAGTTTTGTCATTGAAGTTTAGCAGCAAAGGCTCTCAGGTGTTCTCCACGTTAGAGCTCGTGAAATGCTCCTGCT